TATCTCTTTTTACAAGACACAGTCTAGCTTTGTCATCTAGGCTTAACTCCTGGGTTCAAGGGATCCTCCTGCCCCAGCTTCCTGAGTCGCTGAGACTGCAAGTGCATGCTGCGACACCCAGCTTATTTTTTAATTTTTTAATTTTTTTTTTTTTTTTTGAGACAGAGTCTCACTCTGTTGCCAGGCACCAGGCTGGAGTGCAGTGGTACAATCTTGGCTCACTGCAACCTCTGCCTCCTGGGTGCAAGCAATTCTCCTGCCTCAGCCTCCCGAGTAGCTGGGACTATAGGTGCACGCCACCACGCCCAGCTAATTTTTGTATTTTTAGTAGAAACGGGGTTGGCCAGGATGGTCTGATCTCTTGACCTCGTGATCTGCCCGCCTCGGCCTCCCAAAGTGTATTTTTAATTTTTAAATTTGTTTTAATTTTATTTTTATCGAGATGGGCTCTTGCTATGTTGACCAGGCTGGACTCAAACTCCTGGCCTTAAGCAGTCATACCACCTTGGCCTCCCAAAGTGCTAGGATGACAGGCATGAGCCACTGCATTCAGCCTGAACAAATATATATCTTTTTTTTTTTTTTTTTTTTTTTTGAGACAGAGTCTGTCACCCAGCCTGGAATGCAGTGGCACGATCTCGGCTCACTGCAACCTCCGTCTCCTGGGTTCAGATTCTCCTGCCTCAGCCTCCTGAGTAGTTGAGATTACAGGCATGTACCACCACACCCAGCTAATTGTGTGTGTGTGTGTGTGTGTGTGTGTGTGTGTGTGTGTGTGTGTATTAGTAGAGACGAGGTTTCACCGTGTTGGTCAGGATGGTCTTGAACTCCTGACCTCAAATGATCTGCCCACCTCGGCCTCCCAAAGTGCTGGGATTATAGGTATGAGCCACCATGCCCAGCCACAAATATATCTTTATTATAATTTAGGAGATAAATGTTTTTGGTAGGTTGGTTTTATAGAATTAAACCTAATTAAATTTGCCTTTTAAAGGAGAGGAAAATATATGTGAGAGAGATTTAAGGTTTTGAACAGTCATGCAGGCAAGAAATGGCAGTGGATTTGAACTTGGACTTATCTGAGTTCAGAGTTCAAGCTCTTAACTGGTATGATTTTGTCAGTTCTTATGCACAAGAATGATATTTTTATAAATGAAAAGAGTGAGCATGGAATTGTCTTCACTTACCCAACAGAAAGGTTACATGTACTTAAGTGACATGGGTACTAAATTACCATAATGTGTTCAGCTTTGGGTGTTTTTGCCTTTAAAATTAATTTCGATTTTAGTATACTACTAAATGTATTACTGTAATAATATATGTATACTTTAAAGATTCATTTCTGTATATTCTAGTAGAAATTGTATATAAGCAAAAATGAATTTTAGAAATTATCCTATTATTCATGTAATTGAATTATGTCATTCATGTTATTTAAAGGAAACCACAATCCAGACAGGTTAAGTACCTAGTGTGAAGGTATGTAGCCAGTTAATGGAGCTGGGCAACTTACCTCTGAGTAATAAAGTCTACAGATAGGCTGGGCACGGTGGCTCACACCTGTAATCCCAGCACTTTGGGAAGCCGAGGCAGGCGGATCATGAGGTCAAGAGATCGAGACCATCTTGGCCAACATGGTGAAACCCCTTCTCTACTAAAAATACAAAAATTAGCTGGGCGTGGTGGCATGTGCCTGTAATCCAGCCACTCGGGAGGCTGAGGCAGGAGAATCACTTGAACCCGGGAGGTGGAAGTTGCAGTGAGCCGAGATCATGCTACTGCACTCCCACCTGGTGACAGAGAAACTGTCAAAAAAAAGAAAAAACAAAAGACTACAGATAAATTATCTTTTTAGGTACAATCTGATACAAAGTTTAGAAACGTGAAACAATTCTGTGTATGGTTAGTGAAAGTGTAATAATATGCCTGGGTCTTAATACCAGATTAAGTTCAGTGGTTGTTTCAGGGGGAGGAAGTACTTTTAAAACGATGTCTGTAACATTTCACATTTAAAATCATCTTAATAATTGTTAATTCTAGAATGGTGTCTAAATCTAATACTGCGTCTAGCTTTACTTGAATAAAATAGCTCTACACAACCCCGCTGTCACTGACCTACAGTGCTACTCCTAATATCTTCAGTAAAATCCAACAGGCTACAAAAAAACTGGAATGCCTTGAAATAGAGCTTTTTCTATGATGTCAGATTCAATAGACCTCTAATCCTTAGTAAAACAGTACAGAACAGTGGAATAATTTTTAATGTTTTCTAATATCAACTGAGGTTTTGTTTGGGAGATTAACCAGAGGTATGTATAAAAATAAAATTGAAGACCATTACTCTTTTTTTTTTTTTTTTTTTTTCTGAGGCAGAGTCTCTCTCTGTCACCCAGGCTGGAGTGCAGTGGTGTGAAGTGGTGCAATCTAGGCTCACTGCAACCTCCATCTCCCAGGTTCAAACAATTCTGCCTCACCCTCCCCAGTAGCTGGAACTACAAGCAGGTGCCACTATGCCCTGCTAATTTTTTTTGTTTTTTTTTTTAGTAGAGATGGAGTTTCGCCATGTTGGCCAGGCTGGTCTCAAACTGACCTTGTGATCCGCCTCCCAAAGTGCCAGGATTACAAGCATGAGCCACCGTGTCAGCCGAGACCATTACTCTAAAGAAACTAAGACTCTAGGTTTGGATCCCATTTTTGGAGCCCTACATTCCAAGTCATCAATGTTCTTGTCTAGTTAGCTTATAGAAGTCGACAATGGAGGAAAACCTTTTTTTACCTTAGTGTAAGTGTATTATATGTTGATAGAAAGTTAAATGATCTTTCAATAAATGTAATTCCAAATGAAATTGAAAATTATTTTCATGGTGTTAAATTATTTCATTTTTCTAAAGAGGTTTTATGCAAAACTAAATTGTAATGACTGAGCTGCCTCATTTTGTTAAGGGACTAGTCCAAGTAGAGTCTTGCTCTGTTGTTGCCAGGCTGGCGTGCGGTGGCGTATTCTTGTCTTGCTGCAATTTCCGCCTCCTGGGTTCAAGCGATGCTCATGCCTCAGCCTCCTAAGTAGCTGGGATTACAGGCACACACCACCACACGGGGCTAATTTTTGAATTTTTAGTAGAGACAGGCTTTCACCATATTGGCCAGGCTGTTCTCAAACTCCCGACCTCAAGTGCTCCATCCACCTCAGCCTCCCAAAGTGCTGGGATTATAGTCGTGGGCTACCGCACTTGTCCTAGTGCAAGCCATTTAAACATTTTATCAATCCAACAGCTAAAGGAAGATTAATTAATTCCACAGACTTTTGTGAAATATGAGTGAGACTTGATTCCTGTCCAGGAGGAGCATCAGTAGCTAGCTCTACATTATTTGCCAATACTATTCCTACACTGTGCCATCTTTGCGTAGTGACTTGTGAAGAAAAAGTGGTAATATGTAAATAGTACACTTCATTGATGGCTTGGAGACACTATATCTTTCTGTAATTTTCCCCAGTTAAGTGAATAAAAGCAATAGGCCCAGCCCATAGCCACTATTCTGACTTCCTGATGTGTTCCTTGCTCGGCCTCAGATTGAGCTGAAGAAGATATTTACTGTTCTCTTGACTTAAACTTCATCTTGTTGGAACAAACATTTTCTAAGATACCCCAAGAACTTTACCATGGGGCATAGTAACATTTGAAAGTCATTTCACTTGCCATGTTAGTTACTTATTCCTTGGGTGAGAAAGATAATCTGTTCTTTTCCGATATTTTATAATGTATTCTTCAGTTGTTAATTAGCTATCTGTTTCAGTTCATTCATTGATGGACTAAACATTCTTTCAGGACCTAGTTTGCATTAGGCACTGTGCCAGGTGGGTGACAAGGCTGCAGAAAGGCGTAGGGTGGAGTAGCTTTGAAGCAACTCAGCATCTAATGTGGAAGACAGGCAGATAGACCATTACAGCCAGACAGCAGTATGCCCCTTAGTAGAATGCCACATTTAGTAAGAGTCAGGAAAGCCATCAAAGGAAATACGCCAATCACCCATGTTTGCCAAACGCTAATTTTTACCCTTCTGAGGAAAGCTGTGGACCCTTTCCTAAAAAAAAAAAAAAAAAAAAAAAAAAAAAAAAAAAAAAAAAAAATTTGCACATAATTTCAGGTATTTGCCTGTTCCTTGAAATCCAAATATCTCAGGGTAAAAGTCTAAGACATTTAATGTTTTCAGTCAAATTAACCCTCTGTAGCTTGCCACTTTTCCTATTCTAAAATTATACTTTCATGGTTAAGGTGAGTATTTTGTACTGTTAATATTCTGGAATCTCACCCCATCATTGTCTTTTGTGATCATACAGCTTAGTTATCACCTCGAGTGTAACTTTTTAATTCTTTGCTATTCTATTTGTCACAGTTGTAATTATCAGTAATTCATATTTTGCTGTTTTAGGATAGTTGCTTTAAGTTTTGGAGTCATCCTTAAAAAGAATGCATTTGAGTTTATTAAATTATGTCCCACCAGTAGTAACATAGTTTTGCCTTTTTTTTCCTGAGACTTTGAGGATCCGATTTCACCTTTTACTCCTTAAGATTCATTTATCACAAACATTATGGATATGGATTTGTGCATTTGAGACTGGTTATGAACGGTTAATTTATAGCTCTTTAAATCACACGAGAATTAAATATAGCGCGCGAACGCTTTCCGCGTAGGGAGCAGTGGTGCTGAGCCGAGGAGCGCCCGAGGATTCAGGAGCGACCCCAGAAGGCTAGCAGGTGCCGCGGGGGCTGGGAGGGAGCCGGGAGGGCCCTGGGCTAATGCCTTTCACTTCCGCACGCCTCAAAAGGCTCACACGCAGCTCCTCCTCGTGATGTTCTGACCGGCTTGGTGTTTGTCATTTCACTTTATTAAGTAAAGAGGAAATGGGAAAGCAGGTATAGAGAGGGTTCCCGAGTTCATTCAAGGGCGGACCGTGGGATGCACCGGTCCGGAGCCGGGCCCGCGGTGGGGTCAGGCCGGCGCCCGAGGCGGGCGAACGCGGGCGCCAGACCGTGCGGTTTAAATCTCCCGCCTCCCTCAGCGGGAGCCTGACACCTCCACGCACGGAAGCGAAGCGGCACGGGCTGCTGGAGCGGCCCGGAGGCGGCGCGGGGCTCGCGGGCGGCGGCCGGAACGGGTGCCGGGACGGACCCCCGGGCGGCCGAACGCAACCCGAGGCGGCGGAGGAGCGTCACCTCGCGGCTCCGGCGGCGCGGTAAGCGTCTGCGGCCTTCCGCTGCCCCTCTTCTCCCTCAGGCGACGGTCAGGCCCAGAAGCCAAATCCCGGGTTCCCACGGCGACGCCGGGAGGCGGGGGCGCGGCGGGAGGCGCTAGCCACGCGCCCGTGCGGCCTCTCAGGGCCTTGCCGGCCTCCTCTTCTTCGGTTCTCTTTGGGACCCCGGCCGCTACCTGCGGCCTTCTCACGGGGGAAGCCCTGCTCCGGGTTATTCTGGCCTCCATCCAGGCAAAACCAGCGAGGAGCTGTTTCTGGTGTGGCCGGGTCTCCTGCGGCCGAAGGGCACCTCCCGGCCACGCTCGCTGTTGTGAAGGAGCGCGTCGGCCTGGGGCTCGTTGGGGTGATTTTCCTCGGTGGTGGTGGTCGCTCCTAATAGGGGCGGCGGCCAATCACTCAAACAGCCCTCAGGTGCTTCCCTGCTGGCCTCCTTTTGAAGTGGTGTTTATTTTTATTTCACTATTATTTTGTAATGGGAATGTCTTACTTAGAAACTAATTGGTAATCTATGGATAAAAACAAAACATAGTAAATGTCCGTGGACTGCAGAATGCACAGCCCCGCGAGGGGCTCCGCGCACAGATCCTGCTCCCCAGGCCGGGAATCCAGCCCCGCGGCACAGATCTGGCTCCTGGAAACGCAGGTCAGCTGGTCAGGTGCCCAGGTGATGTCAGTGGTCAGATACGTGATGCTGCTAAGGAAGACGGAGGGGGAAAAGCAGGGAGATCATCCTGGCAACTCACTCGCGATACTGGGGCTTTTCCAGTAGAGGGGGTGGAATCGTTTTTCGTGTAATAGATGATCTTGATGCACACAGCATAAAAGCTGTTATAAACTATGGATCTCTGTAAAATAGATTGTTGGGAAGATAACATTTTTTCCGTGGTTTTGATTTTCACCAGAAGTATTTATGTATTGATTTATTTGATTCTGACTCAGGCGACCTAATGTAAGACGATATTACGTTAATCATCTTCACATCAGTATTTATTGAGTAGCCACAGGTGCCTCATCCTTTAATAGGAGTTAATGATACATTTATTAGCCAAGTAAACATCCCCGAATGATATGTATGTATTTTTATATGACCAAAATTTTAGCTCATTTAATAATTGTTATCTGTGCCTATCATACCCAGTATCCTTTGAAGTCTCTATTTATTTAATAGTGCAAAATGATTGTTTGTCTGTCTAGTCATTGAAACACCTCTGTAGAAGGCAGTGTTCTAATTACCAGTATAATTTTAGAGTTAAAACGGTGCTCAGAGATCACCCAGTCCAAAGAGGAAAAATTGCAAATATGAGACTGGTGGAAAAAGTAGAATGCCATATTTTTATTATAAATGTTTATCATAAAAAGTATTAAAATTTATACCAGTTATGCAACTAGGACCAGATATCAAAATACTAGATAGAAAATGGTTAATACACTGTTTTGTTCTATACTGCCAAACTTGGTGATTTCATTGTGTGATCCTGTATTTACATTTTTTCTTTACTTTTTTACTTAGCTTTTTCAGTACTCACTATACTTCCTTTGAATTTTTATTATTTTTATATTCTTTAACAACAGATAGGATATGTGAACGATTTTTAAATAGTCTGTAACTGGAAAGATTTCCTTGTTCAAAGTAGATTTTGTTATTTAATATTGTTCTTATTACCCTGTTTCATTTTGTCTTTTTCATTCATCCCTTAAGTTTTGTGGTTTTTTCTGAAATCAAAATTTTCAAACTTGTGTTTGGATCCAGTATTCACTATTAAAAGTCAGACACCTTCTATGTATCTCATTATTATTTTGCCATTGTAGACTCATTTGCATGTAACACTAGTGTTTTTTGATTTCTTTATTAATTTAGTTGAGATAGATAAAAAATACAGACTAAAGTAACACAATATCTATATTTACAGCAGCTGACATTGACAACTGTTAACATTTTGTATTTCTTTCTAGCATTTCTTTTCCTTTTGTTTTTTTCTTATTGCATTTTAGGTTTTGGGGTACATGTGAAGAACATGTAAGATTGTTGCATAGGTACACATGGCAGTGTTGTTTGCTGGCTTCTTCCCCATTGCCTATATCTGGCATTTCTCCCCATGTTATCCCTCCCCAGCTCCCCACCCCGTGCTGTCTCTCCCCTATTTCCCTCCCAAAGACCCCAGTGTGTGATACTCTCCTCCCTATGTCCATGTGTTCTCATTATTCAACACCTGCCTATGAGTGAGAACATGCGGTGTTTGATTTTCTGTTCTTGTGTCAGTTTGCTGAGAATGATGGTTTCCGGGTTCATTCATGTCCCTACAGAGGACGCGAACTCATCGTTTTTCATGGCTGCATATTCCATGATGTATATGTGCCACATTTTCCCTGACTGGTCTGTCATCAGTGGGCATCTGGGTTGGTTCCAAGTCTCTGCTATTGTAAACATTGCTGCAATGAACATTTGTGTGCGGGTCAAATGGAATTTCTGTTTCTAGGTCCTTCAGGAATCACCGCACTGTCTTCCACAATGGTTGAACTAATTTACACTCCCACCAACAGTGTAAAAGTGTTCCTATTTCTCCACATTCTCTCCAGCATCTGTTGTCTCCAGATTTTTTAATGATCACCATTCTAACTGGTGTGAAATGGTATCTCAATGTAGTTTTGATTTGGATTTCTCTAATGACCAGTTATGATGAACATTTTTTCATCTGTTTGTTGGCCTCATATATGTCTTCTTTTGTAAAGTGTCTGTTCATATCTTTGCCCACTTTTGAATGGGCTTTTTTGTTTCTTTTCTTGTAAATCAGTTTTAGTCCTTTGAAGATTCTGGATATCAGCCCTTTGTCAGATGTGTAGTTTGCAAAAATTTTTTCCCATTCTGTTGGTTGCTGTTTCACTCGAATGACTTTCTTTTGCTGTGCAGAAGCTGTGGAGTTTGATTAGGTCCCATTTGTCTATTTTGGCTATTGTTGCCAATGCTTTTGCTGTTTTGGTCATGAAATCCTTGCCTATGCCTATGTCCTGAATAGTTTGGCCTAGATTTTATTCTAGGGTTTTTATGGTGTTAGGTCTTATGATTAAGTCTTTATCCGTCTGGAGTTAATTTTAGTGTAAGGTGTCAGGAAGGGGTCCAGTTTCTGCTTTCTGCACATGGCTAGCCAGTTTTCCCAACACCTTTGATTAAACAGGGAATCATTTCCCCATTGCTTGTTTTTGTCAGGTTTATCAAAGATCAGATGGTTGTAGATGTGTGGTGTTGCCTCTGAGGCCTCTGTTGTTCCTTTGGTCTGTATCTCTGTTTTGGTACCAGTACCATGATGTTTTTTTTTTTTTTTTTTTTGAGACGGAGTTTCGCTCTTGTTACCCAGGCTGGAGTGCAATGGCGCGATCTCGGCTCACCGCAACCTCCGCCTCCTGGGTTCAGGCAATTCTCCTGCCTCAGCCTCCTGAGTAGCTGGGATTACAGGCACGCGCCACCATGCCCAGCTAATTTTTGTATTTTTTTAGTAGAGACGGGGTTTCACCATGTTGACCAGGATGGTCTCGATCTCTTGACCTCGTGATCCACCCGCCTCGGCCTCCCAAAGTGCTGGGATTACAGGCTTGAGCCACCGCGCCCGGCCCCATGATGTTTTGATTACTGTAGCCTTGTAATATAGTTTGAAGTCAGGTAGTGTGATGCCTACAGGTCAGGTAGCTTGGTGAGGATAGTGTTGAATCTGTAAATTCCTTTGGGCAGTATGGCCATTTTCACAATATTGATTGTTCCTAACCATGAGCATGGAATGTTTATTTATCTGTTTCTGTCCTCTCTGATTTTGTTGAGCAGTGGTTTGTAGTTCTCCTTGAAGAGGTCCTTTACATCCTGTGTTAGTTGTATTTCTAGGTATTTTATTCTCTTTGTAGCAACTGTGAATGGCAGTTCGTTCTTGATTTGGCTCTCTTTAAGTCTGTTATTGGTGTATAGGAATGCTTGTGATTTTTGCACATCGATTTTGTATCCTGAGACTTTGCTGAAGTTCCTTGTCAGTTTCAGGAGATATTGGACTGAGATGATGGGATCTTCTAAATATACAATCATGTCTTCTGCAAATAGAGACAATTTGACTTCCTCCTTTCCTAATTGAATACCCTTTATTTCTTTTTCTTGCCTGATTGCTCTGGCTAGAACTTCCAATACTATATTGAATAGGAGTGGTGAGAGAGGGCATCCTTGTCTAGTGCCAGATTTCAAAGGGAATGCTTCCAGTTTTTGCCCGTTCAGTATGATATTGGCTGTTGGTTTTTCGTAAATAGCTTTTATTATTTTGAGATACATTCCATCAATACCTAGTTTATTGAAGGTTTTTAGTATAAAGAGCTGTTGAATTTTGTCAAAGGCCTTCTCTTCCATCTATTGAGATAATCGTATGGTTTTCATCATTGTTTCTGTTTATGTGGTGAATTATGTTTATAGACTTGCGTATGTTGAACCAGCCTTGCATTCCCCGGGATGAGGCCTACTTTATCATAGTGGATAAGCTTTTTGATGTGCTGTTGCAGTCAGTGTGCCAGTACTTTATTGAAGATTTTTGCATCTTTGTTCATCATGGATATTGGCCTGAAGTTTTTTTTTTTTTCTTGTTGAGTCTCTGCTGGGTTTTGGTGTCAGGATGATGTTCGTTTCATAAAATGGTTTGGGAAGGATTCTCTCTTTTTGGATTGTTTGGAATAGTTTCAGAAGGAATGGTACTAGCTCCTCTTTGTATATCTGGTAGAATTCGGCTATGAACGCATCTGGACTTGGGCTTTTTTTTGGTTGGTAGGCTATTAATTGCTGCCTCAACTTCAGACCTTGTTATTGGTCTATTCAGGGTTTCAGCTTCTTCCTGGTTTAAGCTTGGGAGGATACAAGTGTCCAGGAATTTATCCATTTCTTTCAGGTTTACTAGTTTATATGCATAGAGTTGTTTGTAATAATCTCTGATGATAGTTTATATTTCTGTGGAATCTGTGGT